TGTTGTCAACAAACAAATCCATGGGACTCTTGCAACATACACCCATATCAGTAAGAATCCGTCTTAGCCATGTCAGTTCGGAGGTCACATCAGACATTGCCCTGTATTCAGCCTCAGTAGATGACTTAGAAATCTTATCCTGCTTCTTACACCTCCACGAAATGAATGAGTTTCCAAACTGAACACACCAACCTGTAGTAGACCGTCTGGTGTCTATGCAACCTGCATAATCTGAATCTGAGTAGGCTCGCAGAGTATCCGTACCTGTGGAAGGAAAATACATACCAACCTCTCGGGTTCCTTGCAAGTAGCGAAGTATGCGGTACACTGCTGCCAAGTGATCCACTCGAGGGTCACTCATAAATTGACTCACCACCTGAACGGCATAAGCAATATCTGGGCGAGTGGCTGATAAGTAGATTAGACCTCCAACAATACTCCGATACTGTGAACCATCCTTCACTCTCTCTCCTGAGTCCCTGCTCAACTTCAGATTATACTCCATCGGAGTATTTACCGGCTTGCAGTCCTCCATGTGATGATCACTGAGCAGGTCACTAATATACTTCCTCTGACTGAGTAATATGCCATCCTTAGTACGAGAGACCTCCAGCCCGAGGAAGTATGATAAATCACAAAGATCCTTTATCCGAAAAGCCTTCTGCAACCCTGCTTTCAGTTTTTGAATACCGTCTAAATCTGAACCTGTGATGATCATATCATCCACATAGAGTAAAAGCAGAACAATACCCTTCGAAGTGGTCTTGACAAATAGAGATGGGTCGTTCAAGCTCTGGCTGCAGCCAAGGTCTAGTAGAGTAGCCTGAAAAGTTTCAAACCAGACGCGAGGAGCCTGCTTTAACCCGTACAGTGATCTGTTCAGCCTGCATACCTGGCCAGGAGTCCCCACGTTATAACCGGGCGGTTTCTCCATGTAAATCACTTCATCTAAGTCCCCATGGAGAAACGCATTCTTCACGTCAAGTTGAGCTAGAGGCCAATGCTTCATAGATGCCACTGCTAAAAGAGTTCGGACCGTAGACATTCGAGCCACAGGAGCAAAGGTCTCAGTGTAGTCCACCCCGTGCTCCTGTGTATATCCAAGAGCTACAACCCGGGCCTTATGACGTTCAATCGCGCCATCCGGAAGCATTTTAATAGTATACACCCACTTACTGCCAATCGTCGGGGTGTCAGGTGGACGGTCAACCACGGTCCATGTATTATTCGCATGATGGGCATCAAATTCACTCCCCATCGCCTCCTCCCAAACTGGATCACCCTGTGCGTCCTTATACCGGGTGGGAGCAACAAGTGATGTGACCCCAAAAGCCATGTAGTCATCAAAATGGGCAGGAGGGATACCTTTTGTACTGCGGGTGGATCGACGAGGAGGAGCTGGGGTAGTGTGCACAGATGCCGAAGATGAAGCTGCTGGCGTGGTGGAAGTCGATGCAGATGGGGATGCTGTGGCCGAGGAAGAAGTAGATGGTGAATGAGACGAGGCCGAGGCTGTGGTGCTGGACGATGTGGAAGGCGACATGAACGGTGAGGAGCTGGGGGAGTCTGGATCGTCAGGGGGTACCAACGGAGCAACTTCGACAGGGGCTTCATCAAGGGAGAACATGGGCAGCAAACCATTGGAAGGAAAAATGGTCTCGGGACTAGAAGAAGGTTCAAAGAAACGAAGGTGTTCAAAAAAGACAACGGTACTAGCAACACGTATACGCTGAGACACCGGATCATAACACAAGTACCCTTTGTGAACATCACTATACCCCATGAAAGCACATTTGGCAGTTTTGGAAGTTAATTTAGTTCGCTCACGACGAGGCATCAAGACAAAACACAGGCACCCAAAGACACGGAGACGAGAGTAGTCAGGAGGACGAGAATAAAGTTTAAAAAACGGACTCTCATTACCGAGGACAGGAGTGATTTGATAATTGATTAGCCGAACTGCAGTAACTACGGCTTCCGGCCAGAAACGTCCAGGAACAGCAGAGGCTAACAACAAGGCGCGAGTAAGCTCGACAACATGACGATTTTTTCGCTCAACTAGCCCATTCTGTTGAGAAACCCCAGGACAAGATTTTTGGCTCAGAATCCCGCGAGACCGATACACCTCACGCAAAGGTAAAGAACTGAATTCCCCACCCGGATCAGAACGAATAATTTTGACAGGTTTACCAAACTGAGTCTGAACCATATTAAGAAATTCAACAGCAACAGATTTGAGATCAGACTTCAGTCTAAGTAGATAAATCCAAGTGTACCGGGTAGCATGATCAATAAAAAGGGCAAAGTATCGGAATCCATGTCGAGAAAGAACAGGGGCAGGACCCCAAAGATCAGTATGGATCACATGAAAAGGATCTGTTATAATAGTTGTACTGGAAGGATAGGAAATACTGGCAGTTTTAGCTTCAACACAGCTAGTACAGGAGTGAATGTCTGGAACACTGACACGAGTTTTACCAAGTAATGATTTTTGAAACATAGCAGAAAGACGAACTGAGTGGGGATGACCCAGGCGAGCATGCCACAGATCCCACTGCTTATTTGACGAATTTGAAACAGCTAAACAAGGACTAGACAACGGACTACTGACAGACCTAACACCAGGAGAAATGGAGTGCCCATGTAACTCGTCCAGATGAAAGAGACGCCCCTGCTTACTCCCCCTTCCGATCAGACTCCCCGTCTTCAAATCCTGTATAACACACCCAGACGGGGCAAACGAGACAGTATACCCTTGTTCAGTAAGTTGACCAACTGAAACCAGATTAGGAACAAGAGCAGGCACATATAGAGTATTCTGCAAGGTCACATTTTTATCCATAACATTTCCCATACCAGTCACCTTCAATTTTGATCCATTCGCCACAGTCAAATCCATATTATGAACAGGAGTAACCTCTTTTAAAGTCATAGTATCGCAGGTCATATGATTATAGCAAGCGGAATCGAGGAGCCAAGGGGATCGATTTTTACCTGTCCCTTGCAAGGTTGCAAATGCCGCACTGATCGCAGCACTCACTATCTGCTCGACCGTCTGGACCGAGACTCCACCGTTGGCGCCATTCCCAGCAGCATGTGCACCTTCTCCAGCATTTGTGCGACTGCTTCCTGCCTCTCCCGACGGGTAAGTGCGGCTGCTACCAGCAACAGTCGGCCAGCGAGCACTCTCCCCTGCAGTAGGTCCCCACCGAGACGCCTCAGCAGCAGGAAAGGCACCATAAGCCGCCTGTTCTCCATACCCAGTCCGAGCAGCATTAAAAAACTTCGACCTGGCTGAGTTCCCCCCTCGCGCGGACCTCCTTCGCGAGCTTCATTCCGCTCTTTTGTGCGGCAGTCTAGGATGATGTGGCCCATCCGCTTGCAATAGACGCAAAAATTGCGTCGGCGGCAATGCTTTTGTAAATGCCCCTTCTCCCTACAGTGATGACAAACCAAATCGGAGACGGGAATTCGTCGTTGGAATTGGGGTCGAGCGATTGCATAGGCAGAGGGATTGTGAGCTGCTCCAAAGCTAGGTTGCCCTGTGGCAACGGCGACCAACGCCTCCCCTTGTCCCGGACGCGCATCAATGGCGGCCTGCGTCCTCAGACGAGTTTCTTCCCTAACCAAAGTTCCAAGCACGCCATCAAATTGAAGAATGTCCCTGTTCAGAAGTGTGGCACGGACTGACTCAAATTCCGGCCGCAATTTCATGAGAAAGTCCATGAGTCTCGTTTGCATACGCTCAGCAATTGCTTCTTCTGTAAGAATATTTTGAGGTCGCAAAGCAGCATGGAGGAGGTCTTGCTCCGTCCAGAGTTCCTGGGCATTATTGAAATATTCAGAAACGGATCTATCTCTCTGTTCCAGGCGCGTCAAAGCCGTCTGGACTTCAAACTGTCGTGCTGCGTTCACGGTGGAGTACATGACGGCGAGATGACGCCACATACGATTCGCTGTCGGGTATAAACGGAGACTGAGACAAGTAGAAGGATCTACCGAGCCAAGGAGCCACGATCGGACGCGTGCATCGTTCTGATTCCAGGTGCGTACCTCTTGTGACGTGACTGCTCCTTCGGGTTTGGGCTGCGTCCCATCTAGAATGCCCAGCAGATCTTTCCCTTCGACGAACACCCAGAATTGAAATTCCCAGAGTGCATAGTTGGTGGAGTTCAGACGAATGGTAGGCCGATCGGAATCGATTATCGGAAGCTCTGATACCATGTTGATTTATCTGACAGTACGGAAATTGTAAACGGACAATGAACACGGATTTACGTGGTATCCCTGGATATCCAGGACTAGTCCACGGAAGAGCGCTAGAACACTCTTCGGCTGAGATTTTACTGATAGTGTTTGTGATAATTACATGAGATACAGTACACAACTAAATACTACCCTAATGGCCGAAGATACTAACTGGCCGAACCCTAGCTCCACAGCACACAATTACTACGTGGGCTAGTGACAGTTGCATGGGCCAAAACTCACCTCATTGGGCCATTAGACTCTTACGTACTAAGTTATAAACAAATGGAAGAATGTACATTTAACAATACTAACTTTGAATCCAGAGGAGGGCTGGGCCACCCGTGGATCCGCCAATGTAGGATAGTGTGAGCCTTTGAGGGTGGTTAAACTAAAAGTTAGATTCTTGGTATGAATTTTATATATATTGAAGAAAAGTATACAGAATTCACATTTGGATTGGACAAAACAGACTAAATATAAGTTTGGTACGATCCATATCGAATCATTACACACCTCATAGTCTATTGAGAGTGAACTTGACTTTTGAATGACAAAACTGATAGATCATCATCCTATCACTTTTTCATGTGTAATAACTATATGAGCCACATTGTATATAATCTAGAATCTTATGTTAAGAGAAGTTACAACCCAACTCCCTATAACAATGGTAAAGCCATAGATTTGAACGAGAAAGTTAAAAAATCTACTATCAGTGAATTTGTATTGCGATAATTGAAAAGGGGACCAAGATTATCAACTATGTATTCCATTTCCCAAAATTGTTACAGAACATACATATAATTTTACCCACTTTTGAAAATTGGGAAGGACTATTACCCCGTAACATCAGCATGACTCCATCACTGCTTTACATGTAGCTCCACCACAATCGCTTACATTCCAAAATATTAAGATATATACCAATAAAAATAGAAAAACGTAACTCTGAGTATATACTCGTATTTTAAGGTACCGAATGTGTAATACGATTATGCTTCCTTTATTCATAACACGCTTCTTCATTTTACACTTTCCCTTTTGTAGGTGTAGTGGTGTACAGTAAGTACCTCTCCTTGCTAGATTGGAGTTCAAATAAATCATCGAACAGATCGAGCAGAATAGTCTTGATTCGAAATGAAAGAAAGAATGACTGTACAAGCTAAGGGTAAAAGATAATGATTGAGAAGAAACATATCAAACGGAGCGCTTAATCCTTCTTTGCACTTCTTTCTCCAACTCATCCGTGCCTCCAACCTCTGCTAGTTCCTGCACGTAACAAGATCCGGTCAGACCTAAAACCCAGATTCAGCTCTATTTCGGTTAAAGTAGCTAGGAGCCAGGGGGAGATGGGCTGACCTCAGGACCCAAGAACAACCCATAAGGAACGCCGTCGAATTTGTCTGCGTGATGAAGCTGTTCATTCATTTTTGCAGAGACCAAAAAAAAAAACAAAAAGTTTAATTAATTACTTAATTAGCAGAGCTGACCTGAGTCAGCTAAATTAGTGGGCGTAAATAAATATATATGAGTCAGCAATGCATGCATGGTAAAGAACTAAAGATGAAATGAATGGGAATATTATTTTATTTTAGTTACCTGGTGAGCAGCGGCAACTCTTCGGAGGTAAGGGACGTTGGCAATGGGCCCAACTGGGAAGCGTCGGTGGGTCAGCCCATCGTGCACGAACATGTACGCCATCCCGAACACCGTTATCCCCAATCCCTGCCAAACAGCAAGCAAAAACAATGACGGCCGGCCCAGCCCAACATCAAAGATTCTAGCTGCTGAGACCGAACACACGTGGCAGCCAGCCCCAAGTTGTTTTTTACCCTCTTCAATCACCGGTACGTCTTACATTAAAATAATCAAACAAACGTGAAACGACTTCTGTTCTGTTTGACACTTACGGCGCCGAAACAGAGACCAGGGAGAAGGCCTTTGTTGAAGAAACCGTAGGAGAGCAGCCCGATGGCCGGCACCGCGTTCGTTATTGCAAACACGTCATTCGCCTCCAATGCTCCTTCTCTTCTTCTAGCCCTGTGGTGCGACTGACCAAAAACGACACCGCCTCTCATTCATCTGTACATTTTACATGGAAACCCAAACGTAATTAACTAATTTTAATTATTAATTAACCTCGTGGACGTCCCATAAAGAATCGTGCCACAATGCTCTGTGTGCCCACCGAGCCCAAAACTCCATCCCCACCTGCATTTCATTTGCTCGTTGTTTAGTAAGATCATCCTCCAGAAATATATAATTGGTCCCAATTCAATTCCAAAATGATTCGAGCTAGGTTTCCACAAGTATCAAAATATCACATAAAGCTTCGATATTACGTCAACAACCACTTTGTCTCATTCCCTCGGATTATTGATTGAGTTGAGAGAGATAAAATAAAAATTATCAAACTTATTATTAACATCATTAATCAATAATAATTGTTCACTTACGGCAGCTCCGATGGACAAAGCGAAGGTCCCAAGCATCTCCGCCACCGGAAAATCCCCACCCTGCATTCATTCATATATTTCCATTACCAAACAGAGGTTTACCTTGTCAAATGAAACACTAAAGTAGTAGTAGTAATGGTGTAACCTCCAACTGCCAAGAGAATCTGGAGAAAACAGCCATGGCGGCCGTGAAAGTGACGCCAACGCTGGACAGCACCGCAGCAACCAGGTAAGCCAGCCTCTCCGCTTCCTTCTTTGGATAATGACGACGACCATGATGACCTCCTAATAACAATCTTCGAATCTGCCTCGTTAATTCCCGCTGCCGCCGCCAAATTACGCGACCTGCGGCTCTGTTTCCCCTCTTCTTCCAGCTGCTGATGCTCTGTTTGTGTTTGATCGCCGCGCTTGCATCTCCGCGAATGGGGGCGCTGATCCAGCAGCTCGGATTATTAATCCTGCCTGACCAGTGATCATTATGATGTTTCAGGGGAACTGAAAAAGGTCCCAACACTGAAGAAGAAGCCATTATAATTTGGTTTAGAGAAGAGGTGGTACTGTTTGTGTTATGGAGGGAGGGAGGGAGGGAGGATAAATACTGGAGGTGGGGCGGCACCTAACCGCCATATGTGCAACGAAAAAAAAAAAAAATTCTTCTTTTGATACATGAAAAAACAGAAAGGACACCTATGCAAAGTACAATGGTGGGTGTGTGCTACTCTATTTTGTTCATTATTATGTGTTGGATATTACTTCTTCTTAGTCTTAGGATAGGAGTCACAACCCCGCAAGGGAATTAAGAACTATCATGAAGTGTGTCCTGCATAGTGTCATAAACCAGTTGGTCCCAATAACTCGAGTTGTTGGGAGAAGGTTCTGCTGGATCTTATACCACTCTCTAACACATAGTACGCTTATTGTTTTGCTGTTGAAGAGAATTTATACTATAACATAATTCACATTTTTTTAACAAAATTCAAAGAAGAGTGCTCATGTTTTTACAGCTTACAAGACAGATTTTATCTACATTCTTTTGTCTTTTTCATCTCTCTTCGTTCATTTTTCATATTGTCCGAGTTTTTTTTTATTTTTTATTTGTTGTGCTGGAACATTTGCATAATCAATTGTCTCTTTCTTTTCAATGACGTCTTCGTAAATTATCTAATTAATAGTTCTTGAGCTCCACATCAAACAAGTTCTTCTTACTCAATAGTAGGTAGATCGTTGACTTCTCATTTATAGCCACATCCAGAAAAGGGTACCGGTTGAGAAGGTTTGACTGAACTTTGAGTATGTCTGTCAACATCATCGTAATACTTTCATAATTTTGAAAGTGTATCTAGTATTTCAAGCATTTTAGAAATCTAATTTAGGATGTAAATAGTCGGTTAAGATCAAACTCGTAGAAGGATAAATAATTTGAACTTACACTAATGCGCCATATCCAGGGAACTAGAGGTGGCACTTGGATTGGATCCATGGATTAGTGTATATGTGGATTAAGTAGATTGGATCAAATTGATTGATTGATTGATTGAATCAAGTGGATTGGTGGATTGATCCATGAATCCAAATGACATCCAAGTCTTGGACTAATACGTAAAATTTGAAAAGTTAAGGTACTAAAATGTCATAACAATATTTTTTTAGGTACCAAACGTAATTTTCCAAAATGATATTTTCGTCTAAAAATCAATTTAGGTACTCAAAAGTAAAACATAAAAATTATAAATACTAAAATGTAATTTGTCATTTGAATCCATGAAAAAATCCACAAATCTACTTTGGATCAAATATATTGGACTTAAATAAATTGGATCAGTTGGATATTTTAGTGGAAAAATTAGATTGGATTCATGGATACGGATCCTAATTGTCACCTCTAAGTAGGGATGACAATTTCGACCTGACCCGTTTTACCCAACCTATTTGGCATGTTCTAGGGCGAGGTGGGCATGGGTACTCTCATCAACCCAACATGCCCTGACCCGCCCCATTTACGACCTATTCTTTTCTAACTTACGTGCAATCTTAGTCAAATTACTTATAATTTTCCTTTTATTACATCATATTTTAGTTATAATAAAGTTGTAAAATTAGTAACCTGAATTTCTCCAATAATTTAACGACATTTATCATATTATAGTTTGCTTCTTGGTCATATAATAAAAATAACGAATATTTCTAATGTTTTCCATATACATAACAACCTTATTGGATCGACCTGCCCCGACCTACTTCCCATACATGATAAATTACCTGAACTGAACCCAACCTGTCACGAAACAATTATGGGTATCGAGATACCCGGCCAGACTTGGCCATTGCCATTCCTACATCTAAGTGAACCCAATTAAAGAATCACAACAGGCTAAAACTTGGAGATTATATATTGGTGGCAACCCTAGGAAATAGCAGGAACTTGTCATCCGCCAATAATATGACTAATTGCAGTATATAATTATCCTGCAGAAAGTGTGAGAATATGAATAGAGATTTGTATACCTGTTGAGGGGGTCTGCAAATTTGGTTTAAATTGGGCGAAATTGAATAGAATTGCTTCGGTTTTGGTTTCATGAATCCACTTCAAAGAATAAAGGAAAACGCAGACCAACTAGAATCGGAAGCACATTCAGGTTCATTTTCATCCACAATTTTTCCTTTCTGTACCTGATCAGGATAACGCACAACCCAATTACCTGTTCAAATCAAACAATCTAAAAAGTTGCAATTTCAATATCACGTGACAACTTTATTCAGATAGTACATGATGTGAAGGTATTAGATTCATAGATTATTTCGCTATAAGCAACCAGTCATTGCTGTTAGCTCACATACTTGAAATTGCTCCTAACTTGTACACATGAAAAGGATCTGCAGAAACTTCTTTACAATATGATCCATGCTTCTCAACGTTTGTTTACTTGAGCAGGTTTGTTTCCAAACAGCTAATTCTGCTATAGCCCTATAGAATTTCTTGGACATTGTGGTAACTATCCTCCTAATGGTGATTTCCAGAGTTGCAGAGCTCAGGATGTGATGATCATAGCAGGCTGATACATTTCCGGGAAGAAGGTTTCTTCTCATTTCTCAACATTTCGCTTCTTCAACAACACATTCTTCTTCTTCTTCTAGTGTTGGGTATCTGGATTGAACTTCACTGCCTCCCTCCATATGAGCTCCTTAATATGCTCTTCGGTGCATGACGGGTGCTCAAAATCAAAGTGGAATGGTGCAGAGCAGATCGGTTCATCATTGATATCATGGAGGGGTGACAAGTATGGGTGGCAAAGTGCATCATCAACTGCAATTGCAGAAACATGCATATATATAAGTAAACTACCAGCAACTGGTTCATATAGTGCTGCCTCAGATTAAATTCCAAGTACCTGTAATGCGTTTGTTGGGATCAAATACAAGCATCTTTTCTAGCAGATCGACAGCACCAGAAGACATATTGGGGAACCTCATGGAGAAGTTCTGTTTTCTGAACTGTGGAAGCTGTCTAACATATCTTCTCGCATTGTCACTTCTAAGGAAACCAAGGCTAGCATCATCTGGCGAACCTATTAGCTTTTATAAGGTAAAAAGTAAAAACCAAAAAGGAGATGTAAGAAGTCAAAAAACAAGAACTCAATGATGGATGAATCGTGTCCCAGACTTCATATTTCATAACAACGAAGATCCCAACATATCAAGGGAGGTCTTTCCATTCATAAGACTTGGTACATGAAACAAATTCTTTCATAACATGTGAAATAATTAAGGATAAGTATGTTCTTTATTTGAAGTAGTATAAATGATGCAAGCTCTCGTCATGAGACGCGTAAGCTGTCGAGACGTCCCAAACTTGGGTTGTTGAGAGAGGCCCAAATATGAATTTTGTATCATTCGTTCCCTTAATATAAACCATGTTAATCAGAAGTCCAGCACCTATGCATAAGCTTTAAGGTAGAGTCAAACGTAGGGGTTGTTCCCAAAGGAAACCAAACAGATGAAGAGATTTAACTGAACAGAGTCCTGGCAAGCCATACCTCTGTAATAAGCCTCAGTTGATGAACATAATCCTTTCCAGGAAATAGGGGTTCCCGAGTCATAATTTCACCAAGGATGCAACCAACAGACCAAATATCTATTGCAGCAGTGTACTCTGAACAATTAAGGAGCAACTCTGGTGCTCGATACCAACGAGTGACAACATACTCCGTCATAAAATCTGTCTCTGAAGTTGTTCTTGCTAGACCAAAATCTCCAATTTTAAGGTCACAATTTGCATTCAGAAGCAAATTGCTGGGTTTAAGATCTCGATGCAGGACATTGGCTGAGTGCACATATCTCAACCCTCGAAGCAGTTGATACAAGAAGTACTGTGAAAAAGGTTAAGTAAGAATCTATTAGTTTTCCTGCTTTAACTCAATATTTATGATGGAGCTTGTCATCGAACATTCTACCTAGAAAGACCATAGCTAGCAGTTCAGCATTTCAATTAATTGGATATTTTAAACTTACAGTAGTCAACAGCAAAAAAAAAAAAAAAAAAAAAAAAAAAAAAAAAAAAAAAAAAAAAACACCAGAGATATATGAGGTCCCCTGTTAGAAACCGATTTATATCGGGTTTCTATATTTATTATTATAATCATTATTAGGGTAATTCTTATTATGGTTAGTAGTCTTTTAGTCGAATTAGGTTTATCATTAGGGTTTCCTAGTAGTTCCCTATAAATATGTACTTTGTGTTTTTCGTGCAGAAGTTAATAGAAGAATTATCTCCTTAATCCCTCTCCCTATCCTCTCAATTCTTGACCTCAATCCCTCTAAAGGTTTAGGCCGATTCTCTTCTATTCTCCCCCAATTCTTCTTCCAAATCCCTAATTCTATCTTCTGAATCCCTAAATTCCCAAATATCACCCAATACGAATCCCGTTAGAAACTTTGTTTCTAACATCTCCATTCTAAAGTCTATAGAGGGACCAAGCTATAGGTAAGCAACAATAAGCCCTCCAGCAAGCTTCTAGACTTGAAACAACATGTAATATGGTACAAAGTCACAAACATAGTTCTTGTCATCTAACCTGGCAGTGGTCATCAGTCAATGCTTGTTCAGAACGAATGATCTGATGGAGGTCAGTATCCATCAATTCATAAACTATGTAGACATCATTGAATGCCTCCTTCTTCGGTGGTCGAATAATGTCCCTGATGGCAATTACCTGCAATGGAAATGACTAGATAACTACTCCTGGCTCCAAGTCAAATGAAAAGAAACGAATAATTGCTTCTATGACAGTAAGCTACAGTTCATGGAACTGTATCATAAGCTTCCAAGCTGAAATAGATGGTGAAAAATGAAAAAGCTAAAAGTACATTTTCATGGTCCATATGGCGTAGAAGCTTGATCTCTCTCAACGTCCTTTTTGCATCGATTCTGTTGTCAAATGCATTCCCAATTTTCTTTATTGCCACTTCCTCTTGTGTCTCGGAGTTCACAGCAGCGCTGAACAAAGTTGCCATCGAAGTTTATTATACAAAGCTCTAAACCAACACAGGGGTTCCTTGCGTAATCAGAGACTAAAAACAGGAAGAAAGAAGACAACTGAAGCTAACACATGCTATCGTGAGAAAGGGATAGCAATAATCACATCCAAAGAGCATACAACAAAGCATATTCTTAAGCAAGGCCGTGTGACTATGATCCATGATTTGACTCTTGAAGACTTGAACCTATCCATATGTCTCCATCCAAAAATACAGTTTTGAAATGAAGTATTTGAGAAACGAAGATTAATTCTCTAGTCCACTAAAATAGTCATCATCTTCAATCAGTAGTCATTATTCAATTCCTGGGAATTCATGACTTTATTCTTTCTAGCCATAAAATGCCAATCTAAATAACAAATTCCATTTACAATTAAGAGACCCCAAGTACTAAACAGAACCAGAATATACTCTAGATAACACCAGTTCTAGTTCATTCAGATTCCATTTCTGAATCTGTTAATAACTAGATCCACTTTCGCCTGCGAATTCATCAGCACAGCAGCCAGAGAGACGAACTCCAAACAAACCAGCCATAACCCATCATGGATCAACGATCAAAACCATATGCTCAATCCCATAAAACGGCGAAGTTTGGCTCTTCATTCAAATGAAGAGAAGTTTAGGCGCCCAGAAGTAGAAACCCCCGATCAAAACCAAGAAACACCTAACCAATTCAATGCAAGAAACCCCAGAAAAGAGTAAGAAGAGAGACAGGAAAATTTACCAGACAATGCCATAAGCGCCACGGCCGATTGGTCGAATGGGAGGAACGTACTTGCTGGAAACTTCAAACAAGTTCCCATGGACATTATACTGCACGTAACGACCGCCGTGAGTCGGAACTCCCTTTATCTTGCCGCCGCTTCCGCCTCCGCCCTTGGCAGCCGTTGCGGAAGTGGAGCTCGAGTCTTTGCTTCCATTGGAAACCATACTTTCCGCCTTCAGCAAGCTTGCTCGACCCAGGGATTTCCTTGGTCGCAGACCTAAACAGAGCAGAGGATTTGGCGAGAGAGAGAAAGGGAGAAAGAGTCCGAAGTCGACACTCGTACAACGGCCAACCTCCCCAATTAAAGACGCGGAAGCTTTTCCTTCCTTGCTTGCGTCTCTCTTTTTTAACTTTGAGCGAGTGGGTGAATACCCGTGAAATGAAGATGGAGATGAACCGACAAATTTGTTTTAGAGAAATATATTTTGAATTTTCAAATAAAAGTTTGTATTGAAAAGAATTGCTGCTTTTTAAACAACCGCGTAGACGTCTAATTGGCTGCTCTCAACAGTCAGCAGCACCATTGGCCGAGAATTGAGAATTCAAACCGGGTGAGCTGATCAGGTATTTGGGAATCTAGCTGTACCTGGGCCGGGCTTACAGGTTTATGTAACTATCTTACTGGGCTCGATATTGGGCCAAATTGGGTTAATAATTTACATGACTGGCCTGCGTGAACAAATCTAGATGACGAACAAGAAGACGATTGAGCCCTGCAACTGCAATTTACTACAACCAAAAAAAGTGGAGGGGATTTCTTGTTGAACCTTCGTCTGACGAGAAAGCAAACAATCATCATGAACTTTGATTACCACAAGCATTCAACATGTATGATTAATTCAGGACTACAAACTATTCAAGCAAGAGCCTCTGAAAATTGAAACAAAAATCACTCAGTCCCTCACACATCGGCAACTCTGAAACGAAAACGCTAGAATCTCAAGAAACACTTCAAGGAAGATTTGAGCTAGCACCGGCACCAGCTCCACCGCCATAGCTTCCAGCACCACGGCCAAATCCTGTCCTCGGACCAGAAGAGCCACCCTGCAAGTTGATAGAGTTAGAATTAAGAGAGATTCAACGAACAAAAACCAATTCAAGGCAAAACAGGTTGCGAATGAAGTTCACGAAAGAAAAGGAAATCAGGTTATCTAAAGTGAAGTAGTGAAACTAATATTAACATATCACTCCGTTATAATAGCTTTAGAAAATACTCCTAAGAGAGTTCTATTCTCAAAACACAAAACAAAATCCATAGTGGGAGGCTGAATTAACCATAGTTCATACTCAAAGCTCGGAACTAAGAACGATGAGATAGGACGCCTTGATCTTCAAACCGCACACTAAGACAAACATGATCACAATCCAACTAAACAGGGAATTCAATTCTCTTACTACCAAGTTGTTCCAACCACATTCCATGGAATGACAGCAGGCTGATAATTATGAAGGAAAATCATAATTTTTATAGCAGAGCTAGAAATGCTCACCCCATATGTTGGTCTGTAATCAGCAGGAGCTCCACCCTTGTCACCAAAATCACCACCAGGTGCCCTTGGTCCAGCACGGTAACCATCCCTATCGCCCCCGAACCTCCTCTCCCCATCAAAACGTCCAGGGCCACTAATTCAAAGAAAATCGAACAGAGCAATTACCACATTGCACAACAGGAAAATCCCCACCATTAAGACACTTCTACTTGTGCATATTCACAATCCAATACGCCCTGAAATTGAAAACGGAACATCAAGACAAAGAGGACTAGGATCATTACCGTGGGCGGTCACCAGGTGGGCCTCCGAATGGCCTGCCCGCTGGCCTAGCCTGCTTCTTCAAGGTAGCAGGGACGATCTCCGAAGGCAGATTGAGGTATGTACGCAGGAACTCAATTCCTTCGTTGGTGAGGTACCAGTAATAGTGCATCCAGGCGAAGGTCTCGCGGACGTACTCCTTGGATTTGAAGCTCTGCATGAGCTTAATCACCTGCAGATTTGGAACATCGATTTCTGGGTGCTTCGCCAGATTGAAATCCTTCTTCGCAAAGCAGACTCCCTCTGCACAAAATCGAAAAGCCATTCAGAAAAAACACAAATCCAGGGGCAAAAGACGGAAGCCGAGAGAGACGGCGGAGTAGTGCCGGACCTTGGAAGAGGTACTTGGAAATCTCGCGGCGGTTTTTCTCCGAGATGATCTGCCAAAACAGAAACCCCGATCAAAAACATTAAACACCCTATTTTTAATTTTTTATGGGCAAATACAACAGGAAAAAGTAGACTCGAAACGGGATGGATAGAAGCAAAGTTGAAGGAGAACGAACCATTGTTAAGCAGCAGATGAGAACAGATCGTCGGCGATTAGATGCGGCAACGGCGTAAGAGCTATAATCTCCAAGTCGCACAGTATCGCTTTATCGCCTTGGAGCAGAGAGAAGAAAAACCTAGCTGCTGTCTGTTTCTTTTTTATAATCTGTTTCGCAGTCCTTTCACTTTGGGCTTTTACTTGGGCCATTTAGCAAACCTACGGTTTCACAAGCAAGATTGGCCAGCGGCCCCGTATAATTTGTTACGAGAGAGAAGCCCATAGATAAAAGACGCTAGGCGTCTAAGAAAGAAAACCAAGGACGGCCCAGTGGACGAACAAAGGCGGCGTATCTGATGACGTCCATACGAATGGGGTGTGCCGTCACAGTCAATACAATATATCTAAATCCCAGCTCGTAATAATTTTTATTTTTCGGCTATAATGATGTCAGAATTAACCTACAAAATTCCTACTCCATACTGTTAATATTGATGATCTAGTGGTAATATGACCGCGGCGTATCCTATGCCGCATTTCAATATAATATTATATACCGTAAATAAAAATAGTCATTATTTTTAAATTTTAGGATTTCGAATAAAAAAATAGTTACAAGATTACCAACGATAACATACAAATGACTAATATTTTGAAGTGTTACAAAATATTTAGCTAATATTTTGTACTTTGAAAGGTTTGGCTAATAATTTGGAAAGTCTAAAAGGTTTAACTAATAAATTGTATTTACTCAAAATTAGTTTTCACATATTTCATTGCTTAAAATGTTCTCTCCATGGTAGCCGCTGAAACGGGTAAGGTCAACACTAGACGAATCAACCCACAAATCAATTTGTTTAGAGGGTTTTCTTATTTCAATGAAACTTTATACATTCTTTTACATTTTAGACTTTTAGGTTTTATTGTTTTTTTTTCAAATGAAAATCATTCGGGCTAGAATTCCTAAACTAAATTGAGAGTAATGATTTGTATATGTTCATCTATACTATTTTTCTAACTACACAAAATTATTATCAAATAACACTCGACCGACCATTAAATAATACTGGACCGAATACCTAAATCAAAAAGTTTATAAGCTCTATACTAGCTCTGGATCTGGCGGAGGGCTGGGCCGTGGCCCGGGTTGGCCCAGCCCTAGATCCGCCGATATGAATGAAAACATTCACTACACTTCGGTTTCAATTTTCACTTCGGTTTCAATTTTCAAACCTTGGACCAACAATAAAAAAAGCATTTGGAACCACATAGATATGAGTTTATTTCATCATATTTTGCATTTAGCAAAACTAATGATGCAACTACTAAGCCAAAGGTAATATAGTCTAGTGGTGAAACCATTGGACCAATTGACCTCTGGATGTGGGAGGTCCTTTTCGATTCCTAGTGGCGCCACTTGAGCGTTCTCGGCTGCATATTTGGTATTGGAGGCGTAGCCTCCCCGATGTTGATAGCAGAAAGCCTCGATTAATATGCAGGTACCCCCAGTGGTTTAGTAGGAGCGTTCCCGGCTGCACTTTTGGTATCGGAGGCGAAGCCTCCCCGATGTTGATAGCAGAAAGCCCCGATTAATATGCAGGTACCCCCAGTGATTTAGTAGACCCCGTTATCGCTCAAGCGTGAGACTGAGGTTCCCTGGGTTATCAAATAAAAAAATGCGGCAACTACTAAAATTACTAAAATAAAATCATTCGAAACTATTATAATTTATCTCACATAAGTCATAACAATCAATTATCACATTTAGCATTTACTCAATATACAATTCACATTATCTAAAATGAATTTTCACATTTTCAAGTCCTTTACTTTTTTATAATTTGACTCTTTCCCAATAAATAAAATGATACCCTAGTTTGGCCCTAAATTTAGCGTTAGTTACAGCTCTAGCCCCATTTTTCAAATAAGACATTTATTGCCTACTTTTGAAATTATTGGACAAATTTGGCCCCGCATTTGGATTGACCGTCAATTTTGACGGTCAACTACTTTCTCTGTCAGTGACTCAACATTTAACACTGATGTGGCTATGGCGTGGCTTTTCATGTCATTTATATAAAATATGAAAATTTTGAAAATAAAAATTTGGAAACATAAAGTGATGAGGAAGTCGCCTATCATCAAGCATGAAGTTTATCAACAACAGAAATCAAAATCCTTTACATTTTTATAATTTGAATCTTTCACAATAAATAAATTAATACCCTAGTTCTCCGATGTTGATAGCAGAAAGCCCCGATTAATATGCAGGTACCCCCAGTGGTTTAGTAGACTCCCCTGTCGCTCAAGCGTGGGGCTGAGGTTCCCTGAATTATCAAATAAAAAAATGTGGCAACTACTAAAATTACTACAATAAAATCATTCGAAACTATTATAATCTATCTCATATAAGTCATAACAATCAATTATCGCATTTAGCATTTACTCAATGACATACAATTGACATTATCTAAAATGAATTTTCACATTTTCAAGTCCTTTACTTTTTATAATTTGACTCTTTCACAATAAATAAATTAATACCCTAGTTTGGCCCTAAATTTAGCGTTAGTTATAGTTCTAGCCCTATTTTCAAATAAGACATTTATTGCCTACTTTTGAAATTATTGGACAAATTTGACCCCGCGTTTGGATTGATCGTCAATTTTGACGGTCAACTACTTTCTCCGTCAGTGACTCAACATTTAACACTAATGTGGCTATGACGTGGCTTTTCATGTCATTTATATAAAAATGAAAATTTTGAAAATAAAAATTTGGAAACATAAAGTGATGATGAAGTCGCCTACAACGGAAATCAAAATCCTTTACTTTTTTATAATGTGACTCTTTCGCAATAAATAAATTAATATCCTAGTTTGACCCTAAATTAAAATTTAGCGTTAGTTACAATTCTTACCCCATTTTTTAAATAAGACATTTATTGTTGTTGGGGAAACATAGATGAGCCCATCTAAGCCCAAAGCCTGATGGGCTTGGAGCCCATTAATGGCCTATTGAGACATGACCTGGGAGTCACCAACGGTAAAGGGGCGCATGACGACAAAATAGGCTCGTGGACAAAGAAGTACGGCTGAGGAGGGTCGGAAAAGCACCACGTAGGCGGATGGTCCCCCCATGCGCCCTGACACCAGAGTCGGACGATGCGCCACGTGTAGGCGCTCGGACGTTGGACCAGACCAGGCATTTAATGCTTGGCTGACGTAAGGCTTGGTGGCAGGAGTTGGTCGGAGCCTGGTCGAGGAGCTCGAGTAGTATAAATAGCACTCGGTAGGTGGCATTTACTCAGGTCGGTTTCTCTCACTAAGTTCTATTTCTTCACTTATCTCTCTAGAATCACTACTGACTTGATCGTTGGAGTGCTAACGGGCGACCCCAGCCCTCTAGGCGCTAGTTTTGCAGAGCCTGGGCGCCTCTGGTGCTGTGGATAAGTGCGCTTGGAAGAGAGAAGTATCGCGGCTTAAACAATTGCCTACTTTTGAAATTATTGGACAAATTTGGCCCCGCGTTTGGATTGACCGTCAATTTTGACGGTCAACTACTTTCTCCGTCAGTGACTCAACATTTAACTACCCTAGAAACCTAGAAAGTTAAACCAACAGAGCAAATGCCACCACCATGGCCAAATGCGAACCAGACTTGAAACAATATTAGAAGGAACCGGTCAGGTCTTCGTTGAATTTACTCAGGCCTAGCAGTACGGGATTTTTCCAATAATAGCACCTTAAAAAAAATTACAAAAATAGCACCCATATAAAAAAAATTACAAAACTAGCACCAATTTTTTGGAACGCACCCCTAAGATGCGTTTTACATGTAAAACGCACCAAACAGATGCGATCTACATGTAAAACGCATCAGAGGGGTGCAATCCATAATATAAATCGCAACACGTCAGTGCGATTTGGGGAGGACGCGGAACGATCTTCAAGATCGTTGGATTGAGGGACGATCGGGCGGCTCAGCGCATGCCAGCGGAGCGATCCGCGCCGAGGATCCCAGATCGCATGCCAGCGGAGCAATCCACGCCCAAGGAAGCACAAATCGCATCGGAAGGGTGCAATCCGCGCCTAGGGAAGCGCAAATCACATTGGAAGAGTGCGATCCGCGCGAGGGCAAAATTACCGCCTCGCCCTTGGAGCGTGCGATCTGTTGGGTATAAATACCCCCCCTTCCCCTCTCATTTCTTCACACCACAACCCATTCTTCCTTCTCTCTCTAGGTTTTATCTCTCTCAACCCCCCCCCCCCTCCCAAAAGCCTAGGAAATAGTGGTCTGTTGGTTGCGGCAAAGTCCGATCTGCCATCAGAAAACATTTCTTAGGTTTTTTCCTCAAAACCCGGCGAGCCAAGCCGAAGCTCTGTTCGAATTGCGCCGAAAAAATGTCCGATTGGTGGCAAGGAGAATGAGTTTTGTTGATGAATTTCAAGCGGTACGTACTCATTATTCGGGTTTAATTTTTGTTGTTGTAATAAGCTTTTTAATTAATCTATGTACTAACCTCGTTGTTATTTTCTCGTAGGTTGGGGAGGACGTGGATATTTACAACCAACGGTATTATCTCGAGCAAGGAGCGTTGGATCCAACCGACTTGTACGACCAACCCAACCATCGGTCAATGGATGTTTGGAACGCTCACCCGGTACATACAATTCTTTACCATTTGTCCTTCTTTTATTTTGTTAATGTATTTAGTGGAATATAAAATAAATTTATGTTGAATTTTTAATCGTGTTGGTTGTTTTCAATAATTTAATCGAATACATAGCGCCATTTACTTCGACTCTTTATAAAGAGATGCACGTCTAAGGAAATGGGGTTTTAAGTGATTATCATATCCTCTCATTCCCTAGGAAAATCGGGTATTAAGAGATCCTCGGATCCCCCCTTTTTCTGTCAACAAGACTACGTTTCTAAGAAGATGTATACCTCTTCTAAGAGTCTAACGAGTGTTGCTTTGTATTCGATTAAATTATTTAAAACAACCAACACGATTAAATAATTTACCAAACAACCCTTACGATTTATTTTGATGTGTACAAATGGAATTTTATTAATTTCAAACAATTGAATATGTATGTTTCTCTTTAAAATATTGTTTCATTAACAATGTCATTTAATTTAGTTAATTTAGTATGTTTATTTTACGATAATATGTATGTATCTCTTTAAATTATTATTCATTTAGAATGTTATTATGCTAATTAATTTAGGATGTTCGTTTTATGATAATATGTATGTATCTCTTTAAATTATTATTAATTTAGAATGCTATTATGTTAATTATATGAAATGTCTTTTTATGATAATAAAATTCTGCTTGAAGTTAAATAATTTAATTTAATTAATTTAGTTATAAGGAATAAACCCTTACTAATATATAATAATTAACTTGTAAATTTTCCCTAGGAGGCACAAACAATAATCCGCTACAGGGGTACGATCAATGTGCTCCCATTCCACCTAGCTATCTTGCCCTTTCTCAAAAGGGCACGATTGGACTCG